GCCCGTCCACAAGACGGACGGACAGCCGACCGCCGGAGGAGGCGGGAGCGGGGTGCCCCATCCCCGGCAGGGCGCGGGGCAGCCGTCGCGGGGGGAGCGTGGGCCGCGGGACCCGGCCCGGGGCCGCGTTACCTGAGTCACGCGGCGGCGCCGCCGCTTAGGCCCGGCCCTCGGCCTCCGTTCAGCGCGCACCGCCGCCGCAAACGGCGCAGCCTGCGTGCTTTGCGTAGCGGGGAGCATGCGCACTGCGGGCTGCCCGCGGCGGCCGCCCGGGCTGCGTGGGCGCAGGTGTGCGTGGGTATACACGCGTGGGCGGCGGGAAGGAGAACACGCAAGCCTCGCCGCTGAGGGAGAAGCCGGGGCCCAGCACCCCCCTGCGCGGTCCCGGGGTTTGCCGGCGAGGGCGGCCCGGGACGCTCACGCCTTGCCCGGTTCCGTCGCCCTCCTCCCGCGGCTTCACCCGCTGCCAGCGCGCATGCTCCGCGGGGCGTGCTGACCTCAGCGCGTCACGCACGTACGCACGTAGGTGCGTAGGTACGTCGCGTTTCCACCCTCCCCCCTCCCCCGCCCCGGTAACCGGGGAAGCGGCGGGCGGCCCCTGGGGTGCCCGAGGGGTAAGTGAGGGGGCGCGGGGCCGGGACGGGCGGGACGGCGGCGGCGGCTCTTCCCCAACCGACCGGCGGGAGGGAGCTGGAAGGATCCGCGGCCTAGTGCGGGCAGGGACGGCCTCGGCCTGGCCCGCACAAAGGGCCCGCCCCCGTGCCGGGGCCCCGCGGGCGGGAAGGGCCGTGAGGGGCCCCGCGCAGGGCCCGGTGTGCCGGGATTGCGCACCGCGGTGAGGGCGACCTGCGGCTCCTTCCGGCTGCGCCTGCCCTGGGGCAGGGGGGGGTTCTTCGTGGCGCCGGGACCCCTGTGTGGTGGGCTCGGGGAGGGGCGGGCGGGGGGGTCCCTTCTCTCTTCAGAAACGGGAGCAGCTGAGACATATTGCTGCGTTTCTCTCCGAGGCAGGGAATCCGTAGAAAGGGTCCGTGCCTTCGCGTTTCTTCCTTCAGAACGGCGTTAGCCTACGGTCTCACCCTGCGTTTCGTCACTGTCCTGCAGGAGCCCTCTCGGTGTTCGCTCACTAGTGGGCTCCGTGGGCAAACAGAGCGAATTTTGTACTTTTGCAGCTGCGTGATAGGATAAAGGAATGATCCGGTTTGTTTTCTGGGGTGGTGGGAGGAAAAAAAAGTCAATACGTACAGCGAGGAAGAATCCTTAAAATCAGATGTTACAGCTTAAAAGATTGTCCGCTGTGCTGTCAGTAGCAGAAGTGCAAAGTTACACCTTTCATCCGTTCGTTGTACATTTTGATCTCTTGTCTGCCACGCATCTGTGGGTGTGAAAGCTGTAAGGTGTGTGCCAGTGCAGGTGGGAGAACAGGACACCGGACTCAGCTGCTACCACGAAGAACTGAACAGCAGAGTTTTCCCCAAAGTCTCCTAGTGAGATCTGGTCTAGACTTGAGATTTATTGAGCAAGTCCCAAGCTAGTAAATGTTCTGCACAGGGAGCAGTAGCAATGTGTACTCAGATTATTTTGAAGTTGTTTCTCTTGCCAGTGAATTCTGATCTCATTGGAGGATCCTCACTGAATTCGAGGATTTGTTTAATAAGACTTTTAGCCTTTGGGCCATCTAATTATAACACACTTGAAAGCAGTGGGTGTTATACTGTCTTTGGCTGCCTTAAAGGTATGACTTACTTGACCATGCAGATGAAATAATTAAATTACTTGGAATGGGAAGTGTAAATCTTAGTATATCAGTTCAGCCTTCTCTTCATCTAACTTAGAAAACCAAGTTCTGGGCAGGCATCTTATGTGGAGTATTTAAAATGTGGTTTGAAAAATGTACGTTGGAGAGCATATATATCGCTAAAGATGCTTTCTTAAGGAGAAGAGGGAGTTGACTTTTTGGCAGAAGACTGCCTTGTCCCATAACGGAGCGGTGTGCTGCTTTGGGCCCGCTTTTCTAGAGATGTCTGGATTGCAGTAGTACAGTATTTACAAAGCCACGAAGCACTCAAGGATGGGACTGTATGGACATGCAAAATATGTATTGAGTTGATTTTTCATCTCTTGTTCCTCCTGATGTTCAGAGTTCTGACCTTGGGTTGGTTTGTGTTGGATTGCAAAACAGACAAGACAGGCAACATCTTAAATACACTTAAGTAGTCCCTGATGGATGTGATCTGTTTTGGAAGACAACCTCTTTGTTTTATTCTTTTTTCGAATTGTGGATACGTTCATACTTACAAGAAAAGAACAAAGCCCAGATCTTTTTTGGGAAACAGATCAAACTCTTGTCAGTCACAATTCCAAGTCTTTTCATCATGACTGAAGTAATCCACTTACAAGAAAAATCATGACAATTATATATAAACTGCCTAAAGCAGAAAGAGCATTGATTTGTCTTTTGTGATTTTAACAGATATATTGAGGACATCATGAATTGGAATAAAGGTGGACCTGGTACTAAGAGAGGCTTTGGTTTTGGTGGCTTTGCCATAACACCTGGAAAAAAAGAGGAGCCTAAGCTCTCTCAACAGTCTCATAGTGCTTTTGGAACAGCCGGTTCTTCTGCTGCATTTGCAAAATCGGGACCTCCTCAGCTGCCTTCTTTCTACAAAATTGGGTCAAAGCGAGCAAATTTTGATGAAGAGAATGCGTAAGTAGGGTTATTTCTTGTGTTTATCCAGCTCTAGATTTTAGTGTTTCAGAGTTGCCAAGGTCACAGGAAGTATCTGTGACACTTACGAGGTTTGGTTATTTAGAAAAGCCTGTTCAAGGATAAATACGATAACACTGCATTATGGTGTAACAGAACCCCGGTAGCTTTACAGCAATAGTATCAAGAAAAACTGAGCTAGTCACCTGCAGGTACTCCAATCCTTGCTTTGCAGCAGACTTTTGGTGCTGCCTTGGACCGATTATTTACCCTTTCTGTGGGTGTCAGCCCATCGTCTGTAAAATGAGAATGATAATACATCCTTGCCTTTAAATATATTTAAAAGACTGAGATATGACAGCAGCCCATGGAGAGCTCTCCTCCTCTAGCTTTCCGCTCCCTAAGAACATATCTCAGCTGAGCCTTGGTCAAGTCAGTCTCATTCATGTTGTGGTCTGAACAAGACTTTGCCTGAGGTGGTATGTTCAGAATTGGAGCCAAGCAGGATAAATTTGGGTGTCTTTTGCACAGGGAAACATTCAATTCCACATTTCTCTACTAACCCTTCTATTAGCTGCATAAATGCCTTAATAGATGGGAGGTCGGAAAAGCATCCTATATTCATCAGCCTGGGGGAGCCACTCAAGATCAGTTTCATAACATCTATTTGCCCTATCACCATTTTTAGCTTAGAACATGAACAATTGTAAATACATAAATAAATCTCAATATCTTTTCCTGTGTACATACTGACTTTTATTATCCACCTCTGCATGGAAAACTTGACTCAACTCAGAAACTGTGAAAGACAGCATGGTGCTGAAGACTGTGCTGACTGGGCCGTTGTTTGTTTCTTTTCAGGTACTTTGAGGATGAAGAGGAAGATTCCAGCAATGTCGAGTTGCCGTACATTCCCGCAGAAAATTCCCCCACTCGCCAGCAGTTTCATTCCAAATCAGCAGACTCTGACAGCGATGATGATCCTCTGGAGGCATTCATGGCTGAAGTGGAGGCAAGATCTGGCTCGTGAAATGTTTATGAATTTATGTGGCCATACTTCTCTCCAGTCAGGAGCAGCAAATGTCACTCATGGCTTTGGCAGCCATATTCAGAATGTCACTTAGCTTTTGTTTTTTATGTAAGATGCTATGTTAATTAGAACTCAAAGGTGCATTAAATGGGGAGAGGGCACATATGATTTACAGTAGCTTAACTATTAAACTGTTTTGAGCATGTCAAGGCAATACAGCAAAGAGCTTTGTGTGTCTCTGAATATGAAATTAAGGTTTTGTGCATTTTACACTACCTGAATTGAAATGATTTGTATTTATCATGAGCTGTTCCTTAGCTACAGTTCTGTTATTAGCTGGATTCTATGATGGTGTTTTCAGGAGGAATGCAGAGAATGTATTTTTTCAATGACATTGCTGCAAAGTTACAGTATATAAATTTCAAATGTATTAGTAGGAGAATTTATTTAGCGTAATAGGATATGGAACAAGAGAAAGTTTAGTCCAAAAAGTGTTGTCTCTGTGGCATGATGGTCTAGTTATGTAGGAACATTTTCCCCTTCCATGTTTTATCATCTTGGGGTTTTTAACATGTCACAATTTTATGACCTGTTAGGATCAAGCTGCTCGAGACATGAAGAGACTTGAAGATAAAGACAAAGAAAAAAAGAACGTTAAGTAAGTTCTCTTTTATCCATGCCTTGCCTGTGTCTTGTATGGTGCTAAGAGAATTCCAATGCATTTTGTTGATGATGATTGTTCAGTAGACAATAATATATACATAGTAAACATCATTAACCAGCGCATGGTATACCCCATGGGTAAAGTTCTGTGTAATAAAAATTGAATAATAGGAGGGAAGAATCCATGGCATCATCCTATGGGAAAATGTCACAACACTGAGAGTTATCTCACACAAGAAGCCTTTTTAGGCCACGCAAATTGAGGCAGCACATTGTACTACTACCACCTTCCAGATCAGCCTGAATAGTTTTTCTTCTTTCCCCATCCTT